CCTTTGTAAAAGTGGCAAACCACTAATACAATTTCATGTGAACAGCTGTGCCTGTTTTTCAAAAAACACACTGTTTATCAGTCCATTTAAATTGTCATAGACCTTAATTGTCTTTGAGTACAACTATTTTGTGATTTTGAATTCCTTTAACCAGTTTGAGTTACCAATTATGTGCATAAAGTGAGTGTTGGTTGGTTTAAACACCCTTCGAGGCACGAGGGGCTCATGCTCATCGCTGAGAGGTGGGTGTCTGTCGGTTAACTAACACAGGAAGTGGGGACAGCTGTCTAAAAGATAGGTGCTAGTTTGAGGTTTTCACAAATAACTGTGACATGTTCAACAAGTGTGTGAGTGCAAAATAATTGACGCTTCTTGCTGATTGAATTGAGATGAGAACGCAATAAAACTTTAAAAATTGGATCCATAAATTACTTTCCTGCTGCAAATCTGGCTAAAAAATCCTTACAGTTGTGAATAAGAACATGTAAATAAATATTCTCCGGGACCAAACAAATTACGTTTTGAAATGCCCTAAAATTGTTTCAAATATAACGATTTTTAGCAAAATTATATATTTTTAAGGAAAATTTAGCCACATATGAATGAGAAATTCACAACAATGACTTTGAGTTTCCAATAATGTGCAACTCTTCTGCAAGTAAATAAGTGTAATGTTGTGAATCGTGTTCATTTCTCTGTCATATGACTTAAATACACATTAATAACTCTGTTCTTGCTGGCAGCAGGGCTCATCACCTTGCTTTTCAGTGACCACACGGTGGCAAAGGTTCATCACACACGATGCGGAAATTCACCCACATATCAAGACAAAAGTTCAAAGCTTTTTTCATCAAAAACTTAGCTTTCTTTACAAGCTGACAAAGCTTCTAGGCTAAACAGGAAGGGCAAAGTGAGCAGGTATTCAGTCATGTTTTCCACTATAGAGTTATGAGTTACGAGATTTATTCCTTGTAAAAGCTGGTGTAAGTCATGGAACACAAAGCAGCATTCTGGAAACATTAAAATGAGTAAAAAGTTTATTGGAAAAACTCATTGTTTACTTCTCTATAAAACTGTTTTAAAATGTATCAGGTGTTGAACGATTCCATGGAAAAGAGGCGTACAATGTAAACATGAAGACATTTCCCTCCACTGCTTGTTCTGTAGCTGAACCTGTGAGTTACACAGGAAGCTCTGTATCTGAAGGGTTACCCTATAAACAATTCAGTGCAGCAAAAAGGATAAAAGCCATGTACGTTAACAAAAATGAGATATATGATTCAAACTTTGGCAGAGAGCACACAATTTGGGGCTCTGGTTAATATCTGGATTATGTTGTAGATCATTTGCTGTTCTTTTCTGGGCAATAAGAACCCAAGTTGTAATCCAGTAAAAGAATCATTGTGGCTTAATTAAAGAAATGCAGTGGTTTATTTTTGGCGTCTGACATCAGATATCTGATGTGAAAAGAACATTTTAGACAATGAAATGACAGGGTTGACAAAACTCTTTCTACGCTTTTCTTTTTCTACAGTACTGTGTTTTTGTTGAACAATCTCATGGTGGGGATAGAATACAACAGAAACGAAAAAAAATGTGATTAGAAGTGTCTGAATGGAGCTTGGCAAGGGTGAAAAATTTTAAGCACTACTCCTCACCCTCCACCTCTCATCATCCACCCACACACACACACACACACACACACACACACACACACACACACACACACACACACACACACAC